AAAGTGAGTCAAAATAGACAATGATGTGACTTTGACGCAAGATCTTATTGATTAGGCAGTCGCATCATGACAAGTCTTCATTTTCGGGATAGGGTCTATTATAATAGTTACAAAGATATACGTAATAATATCGAAATAAAACTTAATCCTACATATCCTTCTTTTTGCATTCCTTTCATTCGTTTTGAACATACCACATTTTCTCACGGGTGTGAACTTTTGTTCACGCTTGGTTGGCAACTTATATTTCACCATAAAGAGCATACGTAAGCAGCTTCACTTCCATATCACCGTCACCATTGTTTGCTGAAAATGCCAAAAGATGGTAAGCATATTCTGGGAAGTATCATCAGTCTCCTAATATGTTAACAGAAAGCTTTTCAACAGCGCAAAATAAACTGGTCCCGAAACGAATGAGCACTAAGCAGCACACAGTAAGGCAAAGAAGAAGGTTTTCAATGACAGTAGTATTGGTGGAATAAGCACTGACATCACTGAGGATAAGATAAAACTCAGCACCATCATAACATCGGTGGTGTTAGGCCTTCTCTGCAAACTTGTGTGCCCTAGCCTCTCCTGTTGCAAATGTGGAACTCAAAAATTCTATTGTATGAGATTGTACACCCATGAATATGAATATAAAGAATAGAAGTTCATCTTCAGAAATGCTCGGCGCCTCAGATCTCTGACCAGTCAACGAAAAACACGGAGATCTGGGCCTTAATCTGACTGTCAAATAAAATGGACCATAATTTTCCCCAGAATCTTGAAAACCAACCACGTTTTGCGACAATTTCTCAACAACTACGTGCCTTAAAGACAGCTATGATCTTCCTCTTAGTTTTCAAGACAAAAACAATAGGATGCCTCAGGAAGATGTAGACAGGAAACTCAGAAATTCCAAAGTTAGATTACTACCGTTTATATGGCTGACCTGGATGAACGGAACCAAATAACAAAATCATCCGAGACTTCGTGAAGCGTTCACTTGCATCACTAACATGAAGGATGTTCTACTTGGCTGTCACTTGTTGAATTCTGAAGGGGTTGCTAATAGGCCGCTCAATGTACCGTTTTCGGATTGCAGCATCATCAGGACACATACCAAGGAAGTCCAATGAACCTTTATTTAGCGAAAGAAGTATCATTGTGAAAAGTGTCCCAGAAGACACAGACCCTGATAATACAGTCCATTTTATTCCAGGGCAGAAGTTCCTACAACTGTCCTTTAAGCTTAGGAACATATTGACCCAGTAAATAGTCGGTCAGACAAGAGGGAGATCTCAAACATTGAGCAATTATGATAATCTTACCTTCTCTCCAAACATCGGCTGCTACTCTTGAGGCATATGTGCCAAGTGACCTAGGTTACGAGTTAGAATCCACTTGCATTCAAAGACAAAGACCACCAACTTTGAGAGCCCTACGTATGTAGGTTACCTATTCATACACATAATCTTTATTCAGTTATGCTGGACAAGAACATTCATACTTCTCAAATCAAAAGGATCATTGATTTATATTCAAACGCTGCGAGTTCAGTGAGAAAAATGGATGAGTTGTGTGAAGTGAGCAACGCTGATAATACTTATCTGATAGGAATATCGTAAACATCAGCATATCAGATCATAGTCCAGACGTTGGCCATAATCAATCTAGGTTTCTTTTGCGACGACAGACAAACGGGAATGGAGGGCGGAACAGCCCCGTACCTATGGTCCTGCTTGATGGCACATCAAGTGTATACTCAAGAGTTGACCATTTTCGATTACCTGTATTATGCTCAGTGAGACATTCTAAAATCAATAGGTGTCTAGTTAGTGTCATATACAGGAAGCTAATAGCTGACATCGGCTACGACGATAATACTCTGGAGGAATTATCAAATTATATTCGTCTCGGACATACCCATACCTTATATTGGCTGGCATCATTCATTCTAAGGTCAAGTTCTCTGGATACACGTAAGATGTAGTTTACAGCTATATTGTGTCTTGCTTCTTCAACCTCAACTGTTTAAAGACATGAACTCAGAAACTCGATGCAAAAAAACACCGCAACGCTTAGATTGGTTCTCGAAACCAAAGGACTACTAGTTAGTAACATCTAAACCCTGGCTCTACCAAGTGCAAAGTTTTCGCGCCTTCAGAGCTTTCAGTTTTTCTGGATCAACTGAGCTAAGACTTCCAACTAATCATGGGCGTTAGACTTGTACCTTTAAAAAATAATTCACTGCAAGTGTAATGATCGACGCTCATTAAGATCTCTTAATTCTCACTACCTTACAGGCTACAAATTAGTCTGTTTTGCAAACGTCCCTCAAAAAGTACAGGCAACTTACAGTCGAAAGGAGTTGTACTATTTGAATACCATTGGGCGGAATACAAACGAACGATAAATTTGTCTCAATAGAAAAGCTTATTCTGTCGTATACAGTCTCGCCAAGGAACTAAATCCAGAGTTCCCCAGTTGTTAGATCTTAAAGCCGAGCCAGCAACGACCATTATGCTTCAGAGCTCCTGACAAGACGGTATTCCTGAAAATTTTAATCGTTTCACACAACTTGCCTTAACGAGAGCTTCACCTGTAACCCACAAGTTGTCCCAGAGGTAAATCTAAGTTCCGGATTTAGGTATCAAAAACTGTAGTTTCTAAGCAAGGACATTTTTAGCCAGGAAATGCTTCATTATCTAATGCTAAGTGAAGCAGCTCCAATCTTTGCAACACCGCTTGCTGTGATTCTCTCGCATTTCCCAAGCCTGCGCACGGTCCCAGACAAATGTGAGCTAACGCATATCAAGCCAATTTTTAAAGGAAACCAATGCAGTGAACCTTCTAGCCAGCTATGACCAAACGCTTTTCGAAATATCGATGGCCTTCTAAATACATCTTTAAACCTCTTCATTTCTGATTTGACAGTAATAGTATCGTTATTATTAACCAGACGTCTATATGAGCGCAGGAATAAATATATAAAAACATACAGATAAAATCCTATCGATGAAAATAAAACTGCTTGATGGCCAGGTGATTAAAGAGCTTAATAAATTCAAGCACATGCAAACTCAAGCTCAAATAATAAACATGGTTGTGGATGGAATACAAGAAGAGTTCACTCTACAGGTTTCCGTATCTAGATGCAGTGGATCCTCATTCCATCTAGGTAGGAGCTTGAGTACACTTAACGAGAGAGGGAAAAGCATGAGTAAATTGTAGCGAAAAATTGTCCTGACTGCTTAAGAACATGTCAAATTTCTTCATGAAGTACTGCTGACTACTCATAAAGAGTAGGTATGGCCACAACCTATTCTACTATTCTGTGTCCCAACTTTCTGAGTACTGTCCACAAGGTATGTGTTGGAGCCGAGCCCAAGCAAGTAGTTAAGGTGCTTGTGGGTGTTTACGATGCTATAAATTATTATTGCTTACTAGGTTTTTCAACTGACTATATACATAAATTTTATTTTTGCGAAAACTTGTCGGGACAAACAGAAATAATGAATTGGGATTCATGTTTTATGTGATACTCACAAGTTTTCTTGTTAGGTTTTTGGTCCTCTAAGACATTTTAATATCAGGAAAAACCTTGTGTACACACTAAGCTTTCTAGAATTATTGTCACAATACGAACACAATAAACGCGCCTGTTATCACTTATATTGTGCAACTATTTTTAACTCAAGGGCTAGTAGAAGTAAACAGGTTTATAAATAAACGATATGAAGAAATTGGATATTTCTCTTAAATATGTTGATTTCTTTAACGTTTACAGGCGGGTCATTGAAGGTGATCGGTCTAGTTAACTAGAACTATTAACTCATCCACATGATATGATGGAAATCCATGACTTGTGAAGTTCAATAATAAATCCTATTATCATGAAAACTCAGAGTCTCCCGGAACGTCTTGCAGAATATTTTGTGATTTGTGGCTTGCCCAAGAATCCAAGTACATATGACGTTTCCAAGGTTAGCATAATAAATTTTGATTATTACTTGTTCAAGATCCTTACACATGCTGAGGAGATAATCGCTCCCAATACTTCGATTGACTTCACGCGATTCCCTGAACCTATTGTTGATATTAAGGTGGGGTATATTGTTTCGATTGTCCAACAAGTTCTTCTAGATTGTTAGTTTAAGAGAGAAAGAAGAAATACCGGAAGGGTATACATGTATTAAATACAGTGTCTCTGGAAAACACAAAGCCAACATCCTTTTGAATTTTGGAGAGGAGGCCTGTATATGTTACCGTAGAGGACGAGATCAACCATTTATAAAAGATATCGAGTACGTTTATTGTCTATTATTTATACAACGTTTGACGTGCATGTTCTTTATCTCTCATATCTACCTCCGTTCAGTAAAATCCAACCCTCAACTTGTAGACTTAATGCGATTATGTCTACTTGATGTTCCTTGTACACTGAATTTAGCTATGTCTGGTTAAAGAATGGGTTATTCGCCTAGTTTTGCATTAATATTCGCTAGTCGATCTTGATTTTGTGCAACAAGCCGACTAAATTGACTCACTTCTAGTCCCCTTGCAAAACGAGGTCTTATCGCGACCAGGAATTTGGTTACCTTTAGAATTTTCGGAAAATTCAACCAGTTCTTGAAAATGATTGTTGAAAGCCTTACTACTCGGGAACTAGGTCATAAATATTGTGATTCCATATCTAAAAGTTGATTATTATCATCATTATCCTATAGAAGTTCTTTTGCAGACAGTCAATTTTTTCGAAAGGTTTATTATATCCCTAAGTTTTATACGCATCATGCTTTACCATAATGTTCGTGTTTAGGTCGGCAAAATTCTATTATGATTCAGCTATCTAGGACCAGTGTAAATGTATCGCTGAAGTTTCCTGACATATACACTACAAAAATGCTTACAATTAAGAATAATACGATTTGTTTAGTAGTGTACTTTAAATAAACAACGAATTCTTATGGAGTTATGCTTCGGATAAAATCTACATCAGAAGCGATCGTTCCATTTCATTTTGCTTTCACGCCACGTTGTCACATATGGCTTTTTATCTTCAGTTGTAAGAGACTTAGACCTTAAAGGGATCCTCTACTGAGTTTGGATGTTTTCCTGTTTAGTTTATGGGATTTCGCACAGACATAAAGTCTATCTTGTTTGTTTGGTTTGGGATTAGAACACAGTCCAACCACAAATTTAGCTCATGAAGTTTTTGGATTTACTGATGTACTTGCACTCTAAGGTTTCCGCCAGATCCTTGACTAAAA